ACCTGACCCTTAAGTCAAGACTGGCCACCAATAACATCCGAAATGGTGTTATATCCTATGCTTATAGTAATGGCTGTAGTATTCAGTCGGCACTTGACTACTACTATAAGTATATCAAAGAATTGCAGAATGAAAGCAATTCTCTGTTTAAGACAATTCAACACAATCTCGAGTTGAATACAAAGGGTTTGAATGAATACATGGTTTGTGTGATGAAAATGCCGGTTGCCTTACAACAGGTCTTATCCGATATCTATAAGTTTGAAGTCAAAGATAACTTTATATGTAGTCCAGTGTGGGATCAACTCAACCGAACACTTCTCAAAAGTCATTGATTTGTTTTTAAATAATATCTAATTTGTTTGCTATATTTACGGTATTAATTAATAAACTAAATAAAATTTTGAATATATTTTTATTTGTGTTATGCATAATTTGTGATCAGATTAGAAAATAATAATTTTCATAAAGTTATGATTACCGCAAAATAATAATTCATTCTGGTCTGGTATTAGATGATTAGTAAGCTATTAATATATAATAGACTATTAATAGTATATTAATACTATTAATATATACTATAATAGTACTATTAATATATATTAATAGTAGATAAATATATTAAATTCTATTAAATATGTCAAAACTAGTGGACATTGAGATCAAAGTATTAAACAAATTGGAAAAAGTGTGGTTTTATTAACAAACGATCAACCGATTGATATGAATGATTTATTTTTAAATGTTATAATAATTGTAATTAAATTTGGTTTAGAAAAGTTGTTTCTATACTAATAGACTATTTTCATTAAATAATTTATTAGTTTTTATTAATTTATTAAATGTCTTCAAAGAAATTGCTGAGACGTTCAGACAATGCCCTCGTGTTTGGCCATCGAGTAGAAGATGGAGTTGTTGTCAGTCAAGAGCTGTTCCGGAGACCCGAACTCAGCGATGGATCCGTTGTCCAAAACCAACACTTTGTCGTAATCGACGATTGAATTCAATCGATGAGCGATTGTCACGACTGTCGAGGAATCAAACTCTTCGCGGATTGTCTTTTGAATCAAGTCATCCGTTTCCATATCGACCGCTAATTAACACAAATATAGTAATTATTATTAGGATGTGATGTCAGTGTATGTGAGGGACAGACATACCAGCGGTGGCCTCGTCTAAGACCAGGACTCGGGTGCGTCTGAGCAGAGCTCTCGCCAAACAGATTAACTGTTTCTGTCCGACACTCACGTTCTCGCCGTCAATAGAGATCTCGTGATTGAGTCCACTCTTCAGACTCTCCACAAATGTCTTCAGATGTGCCGACTCTAAGGCACTCCATATCTCTTTGTCTGACCACTGATCCAATGGATCCAAATTGTGTCGCAAAGAGCCCGCGAAGAGTACCGGTTCTTGAGGTATGANAAAAAGTTTTAAAAATTACTAGAATTTGTTTTGAACATTCAAATAGTTTAGATATTTGTTCTATTATTTGATAAGAATATTCTGTAATTTTTGTGTTTTATTTATTAATAACTGATTTTTATGTGATTTGAAGGCCGAGTGGTTCAACGATCGGACAAAACCGCCGCCCGATTGGCCACTAATGGGAGGAATAGTGTTCTCCAACTATAGCACTAAATATAGACAGGAATTGCATTTAGTGCTCAAAAACATCACATTAGATGTCAAACCGAGGGAAAGGCTGGCAATAGTGGGCCGAACCGGTGCTGGAAAGTCATCCCTGGCTTTGGGTCTCTTCCGACTCATAGAAGCCACTGATGGGACGGTTAGTATCGATGGCATCGACTGTTCGACAATAGGTTTGCATGACTTGAGGTCTCGGCTAACAGTCATACCTCAAGAACCGGTACTCTTCGCGGGCTCTTTGCGACACAATTTGGATCCATTGGATCAGTGGTCAGACAAAGAGATATGGAGTGCCTTAGAGTCGGCACATCTGAAGACATTTGTGGAGAGCCTGAAGAGTGGACTCAATCACGAGATCTCTATCGACGGCGAGAACGTGAGTGTCGGACAGAAACAGTTGGTCTGTTTGGCGAGAGCTCTACTCAGACGCACCCGAGTCCTGGTCTTAGACGAGGCCACCGCTGGTATGTCTGTCCCTCACATACACTGACATCACATCCCAATAATGATTACTATATTTGTGTTAATTAGCGGTCGATATGGAAACGGATGACTTGATTCAGAAGACAATCCGCGAAGAATTTGATTCCTCGACAGTCGTGACAATCGCTCATCGATTGAATTCAATCAGAGATTACGACAAAGTGTTGGTTTTGGACAACGGATCCATCGCTGAGTTCGGGTCTCCGGAACAGCTTCTGACTGACAACAACTCCATCTTCTACTCGATGGCCAAACACGAGGGTATTGTCTGAATGTCTCAATAATGTTCATAAAATCACTTTTAACTTCTGAGGAGCTGAATAATAAAGAATTGAATGAAAGGCTGAGAAAAGTGTCGCAAAGAATACAAACGGATAATAGTTTAGCAAAAGTGGCCGAAATTATTGAAGACTTCATTGAACACATACACAAATATATTGAATAAATTATTATTTTACGGTAATAATAACTTTATGAACATTGTTATTTTCTAATCTGATCACAAATTATGCATAACACAAATAAAAATATATTCAAAATTTTATTTAGTTTATTAATTAATACCGTAAATATCATAACAAACAAATTAGATATTATTTAAAAACAAATCAATGACTTTTGAGAAGTGTTTGGTTGAGTTGATCCCACACTGGACTACATATAAAGTTATCTTTGACTTCAAACTTATAGATATCGGATATGACCTGTTGATAGGCAACCGGCATTTTCATCACACAAACCATGTATTCATTCAAACCCTTTGTATTCAACTCGAGATTGTGTTGAATTGTCTTAAACAGAGAATTGCTTTCATTTTGCAATTCTTTGATATACTTATAGTAGTAGTCAAGTGCCGACTGAATACTACAGCCATTACTATAAGCATAGGATATAACACCATTTCGGATGTTATTGGTGGCCAGTCTTGACTTAAGGGTCAGGTAGTCCTCAGTAGCCAAACACAACCGGACGCTTGTATCGTAAAATCTGAGCACATATTCATTATAGCGAACCGATTCTGGTATTGAATACTCGATGTTGTATTCGGACAGCGCTATCATATAACCCCAACCTTTAAGTCAATGTATTTATTAGTACATAGTTTTCTATGTTATAAACTATTTTAACTATTCACTAATGACATCATATTTACGTAAACTCTTATCAATATAAAAATAATATAAGATTTTATGAAATATATTTATTTTTACACTCTTGTTGTAAGAATTTATTAGACATGACGTCCAATAATCAAACAATAAATACCTGATTCAGCGCTACGTATGGTGTAGTAGTCGTCAAATGGTATGATCTTATCATCGGAACTATACTTCCTCTGAATGTGTAACTGAGCTCTGAATGAGTTCTTCAGCGAAGATCTTAAATATGACTTCTGGTGGCCATTGATGTCCGGCTCGATGGCACTCAACGCCCCCAACAGTCGCTGACCTGTTATTTGAAACACATTTTAATTAATGTTTTAATTATTTATAAAAATAGCAAACATTTCAATAATAAATTAAATCTAATTATAGATAATTAATAATTTATACCTAAACTAAACTCCTGATCGCACCGTCCGCTTTCCAGTGTACTCAACAATTTAGTGACTACTTCCTCCATAACGGAAACACCCCCTTCCCTACCGGTTCCCTTACATAATTTATTGCAATAGACCAATACATCCAGACATTTGGTTAGACATAACAGCCGTTCCCTCGAAGTGGTGTTGAAAACTAATGTAATTTCATTGACAATAATACCATTGATCTGGTCGTCATAATCGGCGAAACATTTTGACCATTTGGTGTACTCCCGGGACAGCCATTCCTTATGCGGATTGGGATCTACTTTGCTGTCAAACAACCACTTGATCTTCAAGTCTGCAAACTCTTCCCTACTATTCAACAGAGAAAGTGTTGCCATAATTGATAAAAATCACAAATTTTTATATCAAATTGCAA